ATTTCAGTCTGTGTCAGAGGAGATGGAAGTCTGGTGGACAGATGCTTAATCACAGAGCCCAGGAAAAAGCTGGGCCCACCTCTGCCACATTCAAAGCATCCTTCAGGACTGACACCCTGAATGAACATTAGCATGCTAAATAAGCTTGGTCAAGCCGTTCCCTCCTTGCCAGTTTAATATTGCTCATTAGTTTAGATGGGCTGTGAAACAAGCAGGGTGTGACATCAACACACTAAGTTCCACATTCGAAGACACAAGCTTAGGTAGAGCAAAAAATAGTGAATGCATATTTGTCAGTCACTGACCCACAGAGTACCTGCTATGGGTTCCCACCTAGGGGCTTTCTTTCCCTCCTTTTTTAATGGATGCGGTAAGCATCCCTGGTGAGGATGACAGCATTTCTTCCATTAAATGTAATAGGAATTTTACATCAATTTCAACAGGAAAAAATGCAAAGAGAACAAAGAAAAACATTCATTTTCCTGAGTCTGTTCAAGTGAACCATTCCAGTTTACATTTGGTACATAGCGGCAAAAAGCCAAAGCAAATGAATTCCTTATTGTGCACTGTCCACAAATATCATTTTGAAAAGTCAGATTACCAAAAAACACACCAACAACCACAGCCAAACAGAATAGGTAAGTGTGAAACACAGTCACTGCTATCTTTATTATTAATTAATTATTTTTTAAGAACACATTTTGAATTCCTCTGTTAAAATACAGTTTCATAAATAAGAAAGGGATTTAAGCCAAATCTCTAACTTTTGAGAAGTTTCTTAAAAAGTATTTTCCCTTGGATAGATTTCATGCCCAGGAGTGACACTCCCCTTGTGATTAGCTTCTCAGAGGAACAGACTTAGGGTCAGTTCTTAACTGGTTCCTTTGCAAACCAACACTTCTGTCTTTTGATGATAGCTCCCTCTGAGATTTGTCTTCTGGGTGTGCAGCACACCCAACCTTGTCTGAGCCTTGACTCCTGACTTCAGTTCCTACCCTGGGGCCTTCAGTAATGAGAAGGACTGCCAGCACTCTGCTCTCTTGCATTTACCACTTGCAAGTGCTTTTTCTCACTAAAAGCTATTCTGAAGCCTGACAGACCCTACAGAAAGGCAGGCAAGAGAAAGTAGAGGTTTGTTTTGATATCCGAATTAGTTATGTTAAAAAAAAACAGATAATGAGTTACATTTTCCCTACTAGAAGAAACTCTTCTATTGAGTCCTTATGCCGTCAGATTCTAGGACAGAGTGTAAGGCTGCTGTTCCATGCTGATGGCTGACACAGAAGATCGATGTAGCTTCCACTCATGTTTGCAAAGGTCTGACTGTCTTTCTGTCAGTACTGTGGTAGAAGCTGGGTCAGAATGCTATGTATTCACAGAAAGTAAAATTGCCAAGGGAAGACTTGTATATGTGAATGAAATATTTCACTGAGATATCGAAAATTAATTTCTGAGAGCCAAGTCTCACAGAAAGAACACTGACTTAGAACTGCTCCACAGGGACCATGAGTAATTTGGCACAGGAGAAAACTTGCACATGTTGTGCATGTAAAATATCACACTGCTACACATTATAAAATGACATAACTGTCCTATAACCTATCCTGCCTCCTGGCAGTAGCTGAGCATTTTGACACTTGATCATCTCCTGAGGTCTCTTCCAACCTGAATTATTCTGATTTTTCCTTCAATGTCACTCACACTTGAATATTTTCATAGGAGAAGGACTTCCTAGGGTATGCAGTTGCAGCTAACTAACATTCTTTTTCTTACATCCTCAAAGCAAGATTGTGAGGCTTAAACAAGCATAGCTGAACCGTAGGTTCAGATCAGTAATCCTTTTGTTATTTTTATGCAGGAGGTTAAATATTTTACTGAATTCAGTAATGAACTCTGAAACAATTCAATCATATCTTATTAGACATAACTGCAAACCACAACTTTAAGTTCTAAAGAGGGATAAAATGTGTTTTTCAAGTGTCCTAGGAAGAATGTGAATACATTAGTGTTTACTTCTACTTTCTGTGGCTAAAGGGCTCTGAGCAACATGATTTAGCTGCACATGTCCTTGTTCATTGCAGGGGAGCTGGACTACAGTCCTTGAAGGTCCCTTCCAGCTCAAACGGATTCTATGATTTCCCTAAATCAGGTATTTGGGTCGTTTAACACCCAAATTCGGAGCCCTTTCCATTTATTAACTGCAATACGGTTCACTCCCGCTAGGTGCTGCCCTTCCTCCACGGTTTGAGTAGGAAGTTTTACGTTTCATGCTCGAGGGCATCTGAACCAGATTACCGCTGTGGTTGTTGTACCCACAATGCAAAAACCAGGCTCGTTCTTCATCCCAGCGTGGTGCCGCTGGCAGCCGTGATGGAAACCTTCTTTTAAGCACTGACTCAAAAAAAGCACCCACCCAAAAAAAGAACAACAGTCTAAACTCAAAAATGCCAAAAGAAAACTGGATCCCACCATTAGGACAGAAGGCATCCAAAGCACAGCTAGTCCCAGTTGACAGCTAACAGCAAATGCTGTGAGTGCCTTATCTGAAGGAACTCATTCTCAGAATTGTTATGGTACCAACAGAGCTAAGAAAATTCGCATTTCCCATCATAAAGCTTAGCGTGTCCACCAGATCTCAGAAGCTCCCTTTCCTAGGGTCGTATGTCTTCCATGGTGCTCTGTGGCACCCCTGAATGTAACATTCAGTTTGTACCAGTAGCTCACTGAGTCTCCCACACAAAACGAGAATAAAACACAGAGGTTATGGCTGCGTTATGCAACCTAGTGACTGACATGCACATGAAAATAGTTGATACATTCATCCATTTTAATACCCCTGGATGAAGTCCAGTTCTCCTCATTGGAGACAAATATAGCCAAGTATAAAGGGATAGAAAATGGAGAAAAAAAAACTATTATAAAATTTGGTGAAATTAGAAAAGAAACAACTGTTGGATGTTACAATAATCATAGCCTTGCAGCCAGGCAAAGCATCCTCGCTTGCATAAAGCCGCAAGAGATGCCCAGAGAGGACAGTAACTCTGAGAAGTAGTTGCTTCAAAACTGGTATTTCAGTGCTGGGTTCATCCTTCAGTCCACAGCAGGCTGGGAGCCCTGGCCAGCCTGACCTGTTGTGTGGCAACCCTGCCCATGGCCGGAGGATCGGCTTTGAGGTTCCATTCAACCCAAGCCATTCCATGATTCTATAATTCTATGGTCAGCTTCCTTAATTAATAGATGAATTAAACACCCTATTTTTTATACAGAAGCATCTGCAAGACGTGCTGCTGGCATATACAGAATCTTCCACTGCAAATTGTGCAGTGAATAATTGCCCTCACGAGCATCACATGATCTCATCTCCTGGGTGCACAGGCTGATCACAGTGCTCTCAGCAGAGCCCACACGAGGGAAGCTGAGTTTAAAATATGCATCTGTGGGAGGCTCCTGAAGCGGCTTCCTACTAAGGATGGCCGGGAGCAGAGTGATGCTGGGGATATTATGCTGCGCATAAAGGAACTGAGGCAAAAGTAACCCCATGAAGCTGCTGCCAGCAAACCACACTGTGATATTTTCATGTGCTCTAGTCTAGTGAATCGACTCTAAAATAGTGTAAGACAAAAAGATTCCCACCCTGGGCTAGTGGATAAGTGACATTATTTTTCTTTTTGTCTATAATGACAAACTTGTGTACTCAAATGGATAGTAAACCAAACTCTTTCAGGCTTCTTGTACTTCCCCTGATCTTTACTAAACTACAGTTTTAACCCCAATCGTACTCCTCTCTCAAAAAAGAATAAAAAAATAAAAAGGAAGAATGAACCAAGTCATTAGTTGCAGCACATCATCAAAATATCAGATTAATCTACTGTGCCATTTTGCTCCCACAAATGAAAACACATGGTGGTCTGTGTGCTGGCAGCCTGTTTTTCCATTTGGAAAATGCAGTGTTCTCTGCTGCCTTATCCTTAGTCCTTTCCAACTGAACTCTTGAGCCTCCTGAGTGACTCAAGCTCTCCCCATGCCCTGCCTCACCTCCCTGTTCTTGTCATCTGCTCTCTCTGCAAAACTCTTATTTCTCAACTCCCTCCCTTCTTCCTCTTCTCTGTGGCAAACTTACCTCGCTTTTTGAGAACTAGCTTGCCTTTCCTTCCTCCTCCATTTCTCCATTTTCAAAGTAACTTTAACGCCTGGCTCTGCACCATCTGATTTCTCGTTCAGTGGATTTGTTGTTTGTAGCACAACAGACTGGAAAGGGCTCCTTGGAAAGCGCTCCCTCCAGCTGCTCTTGGGCAAGTGGGCACGAGTGGACACCCCAGAGAAACTGAGCACACCACAGCGGCGGCTCAATGCTGTCGCTCGTAAAGAGAAAGAAAGGTGGATGAAATTCAAGCAAAGCACTGAAACATAATTTAAATGCTCCCTGCCCCTACATTCTAAATAGGCGCTTATGTTTCCTAACATACCCAGTAACTCCCAATCCAACCTCAGCTGTAAGGCCACCCGGTGACACCCGTGCTCCTCCCAACACACACACACACGGGGGCCACGGTAGGGTCCCCGCACCGCCGCTCCCGGTGCTACGTTCCTCACCAACAGCGGCCGAGGACGGAAGGAGCGGAACCGCGCTCTCGCCGTCTCCGCAGCGCCCGGCGCCCGGCCTTAGGGAGAGGCAGGGCAGGACGGGGCGGGGGCCGGGGACCCTGCGTCAGTGCCGAGCCGCCGCCGTCCCCTCCCCGCGCGCTCGGCTCTGCCTCCCGCCGGCCTCCTCCGCCTCCCGCCGGCTGCGGCCGCGTACATAAACGCGGCCCCGCCGCCGCCGGGGCGCTCCGCTTGTAGTCCGACGGAGGCGCCCGGTCTGTAGTGCGGCCGCCCGGCTCCACGCACCGACGGGGCGGGGGCTCCGGCGGGCAACGGCCCCGCGGCACCTGCCAGCGGCAGCAGGAGGAAGAGGAGGAGGAGGAAGGCGGCATCTCCCGCCCGCGGCGGGCTCCCTCGGCATGGCCCTGGCGGACAGCGCCCGCGGGCTGCCCAACGGCGGCGGCGTGTCGCCGGCGGCGGGGAGCGGGGCGACAGCGGCGGCGGGCGGCTGGTCGGCCTTTCCCGAGATCGTGGAGCTGAACGTGGGCGGGCAGGTGTACGTGACGCGGCGCTGCACCGTCGTCTCGGTGCGAGACTCGCTGCTCTGGCGCATGTTCTCGCAGCAGCAGCCCAGCGAACTGCCTCGGGACAGCAAGGGCCGTTTCTTCCTCGACCGCGACGGTTTCCTCTTCCGCTACATCCTGGACTACCTGCGGGACCTGCAGCTGGTGCTGCCCGAGCACTTCCCCGAACGCAGCCGTCTGCAGCGCGAAGCCGAGTACTTCCAGCTGCCCGACCTGGCGCGCCGCCTGGCGCAGGCTCGGGCCGCCACCGCCGCCGCCCGCCCCGCCGCGCTGCACCGCGACGGCTCGCTGTGCGCCGACGAACCGCCGCTCCTCGGCTGCTTGGAGGCAGAGCCCGCGGAAGGAGGCGCCGCGGCGGCGTCCGCGCCGTCGCCCACCGCCAGCCGCAGCCCCTCGGGCGGGCCGCTGCTGACGCCCTCGCAGTCGCTGGACGGGGCGGGCGGGCGGCGCTCCGGCTACATCACCATCGGCTACCGCGGCTCCTACACCATCGGGCGGGAGGCGCAGGCCGACGCCAAGTTCCGGCGGGTGGCGCGCATCACCGTGTGCGGCAAGACCGCGCTGGCCAAGGAGGTTTTCGGGGAAACGCTGAACGAGAGCCGCGACCCCGATCGCCCCCCCGAGCGCTACACCGCCCGCTACTACCTCAAGTTCAACTTCCTCGAGCAAGCCTTCGACCGTCTCTCCGAGGCCGGCTTCCGCATGGCCGCCTGCTCCTCCACCGGCACTTGCGCCTTCGGCCCCGAGCAGGGTGGTCCCGCCGAGGACAAGATCTGGACCAGCTACACCGAGTACGTCTTCTGCAGAGACTGAGCCCCGCCCGGCGGCGCGGGGCTGCGCGGCCCTCGCACCTGCGGGGCTCCTCCGCCGGCCCCCGCCTAGCCTCACCACAGCGCACAGCCCCGGAGGGCCCCGGGGGCGGGAGCCGCCGTGCTGCAGTCCGCTTTGGCTGCCGCGGCGTGGCCCGGCTGCCCTGTGCCCCCTCGTGCCCCCCGGTAGCTGTGCTGGGAGAGGGGAGGGAAGAGGTCACGGGTGTAGATAAACACCCCAGCCAGGAAGGCGTACGTGTGCCCAGCCCCTGCTTCTCCATGCAGTGCTGTCAGATTGGGGTGTAGGGACCAAAGAACTCTTTTCCGGTTGCTTTTCAGTGATTTCTGTTGAACTGGTAGGTGTCTTCTCTCATCCCCATGCTCAGACTGATATTTTACCTCTTTGAGCAGGTTATGGCAGCCCGTTTTATGGCCCCTCCCATGAAGGCGATGCCAACCTGTGAAGGACAGCCATGTGGCGGTGATGGCTGCCTGTCACACTGGCATTGCTGCTTGTACTTAACCTGTAGAGATGAATAATTTTGCAGGAAGCAAGCTCTTTGTGACCAGATCCATCCGTGTCCATCTGCCCTCCCTCAGCCTCTGAACTTCCCAGGCTGTGGAGCTGGGCCGAGGCCTGTGCAGCAGGAGAGTGAGGCTGCAGTGGAGCACTGTTCTTAGGATAACCAGCTGTCGAACTGTAGTGTCTGCAGAATCAAGGGGCAGTGCTTTGGGAACTTAAAATGCTGTGTACATTGTAACTTTCATGGGTGGCATGAAGTCCTTGTAATTCTCTTGAAGTCTGCAATATGCATAGAAAATGCAGTGCATATTTCCTTAGCATCCTCCAAATTACTGGGGTGGGGTGACAGCTGGGATGCCATGGTGAAGGTGGAGCCTGCTTCTGTCATGGTGAAATTGTGTGTGTATGTTGAATAGAAGCAGATGGATTTTTAAGTGTAATCAAGAGTACCTTGCTTATTACTTTGAGTTTTGTCATTTTAGTGGTGTAAAATTTTGAAGCCAATGGAACTGATGCTGAAGCAACATTTTTAAGTTTCTTGTTTTTCATGTCAGTATTACCTGGGAAGTGACTGCTGAGAGTTAAGAACCTCTCCTGCCACACAGCTCATTCTTAGAAAGGATTAAGCCCCATCCTTATGAAAGGGAGGTGACAGTATTCTTCAGGAGAAATTGCCCTTTAAGGAAGTAAAGTTGCGTTGTGTTTATGCGACTTGGTAGTCTCTCTTGTAGAAGACAACCACAGCTTACTTTGCAACCTATGGCCCGAGAGTGGTTTGCACAGTACAGAAAGTCAAGCAGTTCTTTCCAATAAATTCGTGAAGGTTTGAGTACAAAAGCACTTTAACACCTGATTTTGAAGCCTGTGTTGTCTGTTCAGATGGTGACAGAAAAATATCTTAAATGTAACGTTGAAAGAATTCAACGTTTAACGCCTGAAGTTGCATTTTTTTTTAAACTATTGATTAACAAGTTGATCATTCTAACCCCAAATTTAGAAATACTGCTAGCACTTACGTCTAACCAAAGAATTTCGTAGTAGGGTTTTATTTTTAAACCTTAGTTCCTTTGAAAAGAGCTATAGCCGCTTACGTACTGAGTTCCAGCGCTCAGTCTCCATGTGCATCACTTGGTCGTTCACTAAGTATATCTGCAGTTGCATAAAACTGAAAATAACTTCCATAGCCATGAGTTTTTGTAATTGGCAAGATTGTTTATCAGTGTGACTAAAGTGATGATGCACATGCGAAAGCTCTGAATATTGTCCAGCTGTAGATAGATGTGTAACAGAGTATTTTTAAGTGTAGAGCAATGTCCATGTCTTGTTAGATGAGCAATAAGATAGAGTGAGAGGCCAATACACCTGAAGACAGATTGAAACCTGTTTGTCCTATGCCTTACTCTGAGATAATTTCTTTACGCTGCAAGTGAAAGGAGCTTGATCATAGCTACTAGGTCTGTACAATGTCATTCTCAAGAATAATGACTGTCTTTTTCTAATTTCTGTTAAGTAACTCTGAAGTATGTTTTTTAAAATTTTGTATAAAATTTCAGTGGAAGTGTTCGGATTCGCTCTAGATAGCTTTCTTTTTTTAAGAATCTGGTAGCTTATGAAATCCATCATAGAAGCTATGAATAGGGGCAGTTTTGAATTGAACTTGTGATTTAGTATGTATATATATATACAGTATATAAGCATTTTACACGAATCATTTAGTTTTTTAATCACTTTAGTGCTACAAAATTTCATATCTAGCTGAGCAGTTACATATTACGCTGTGTACATAATATGGTAATGTTTTATTGGTTTCTTATACCTGTTTCTATGGCAGAAAACTGAACGCGAATATCACCATCAGTGTAGAACTAAAATTGATTACATATTTGCTTGAATGTGAATCATACCTTAACTTCCAGGTGGTTGAATGCATCTCTCTAACAAAGAATGCCTGTAGTTTGATCAGTGAGTGCTGGCCCATTTGATGGCAGGTGACCCAGGAACTCTCAGAATTTTAAGTAAAAGTTGATATAATAAAAATGTAAATAGATCATTTAAAAAATAATCTTTGTGCTAAAAAACTCTTCTAAGTGTGATTAGTATTAGACAATGAGGCTGCTCATTTTATATTTAAAATCTCAGTTTGAAATGACAGTGCCACAAATTCAACAGTCATTTGATGACTTGCTGCAGAAAACTCTGTATTTCTTAAAGGTTAATTGGCAATTTCAGTCAAATTTTCAAAAGGTAAAATGCCCCAGGCCAAGTCCCTGAGTTTGTGTGCTCTCCTGTGGTGAGCACTCGGAGAATGGATGGACGCAATAGCTCCTCTAACCCATTATTCTTCAGAAGGAGAATATCTAAAGGCACACTGCTAGAGCCCCACACATGGTTTGCAGCTGTTCACTGTACATTTACTTAGAGATAAATGCAGTAGCGTTTACAAGAGCTGTTAAACTCAGTCGTTTCTTTTAATTAGAATTGAAGATTTTCAGTGATGCATATCGTGAAGGGTGACTGCGGATGTTTGATAGGATGTTTATATTTTTATACATGTAGATAACAAACCACTTGCTCATTCTTATTTTCACATGTATAGCATTGAAAATAAAGATCCTCCTAGGAAAATGTTGCGTACCAAATTAAATTGTTGTTCTTTAAATATTAACTTGGTTGTGTGATTCATGCTGTCCTTTTTACTCTAGTAAAGATGTTGTTGGCTTTGCACTCTGTTCACAGTGTCATAACCATTGAACAAATACTTGTAGCTAATAAATAAAACAGGAACATCGAACCAAGAATGGGGATTTCTAGTAACAGCCGTAGCACGATAAACAGAAATGTATAATGCTCTGAGCATTTTAAGTGTCACAGAGAATTTCTGTGGTACCACTCTGTATAAATCCATCCTCAGGGAACCATAGTGAATAAATAGTTTAATTTGAAAAGCACAAAACGTTAATGTAAGATGCCCATGTTTTTTAAGAAACTAATTAAATATAATTAACTTAGATATAATAATTATTTAATGAAGGAAGCTTTAATACTCAAGGAAAGACCTGAGAGAAACGCACTTGGAAACTGCTATGGAACAGAAGGGTGATGGTGTTGGCTACCCTGTGAACTCCAATAAACTGTTACAAACCCAGTGGAGTGTGCTGTGGTCAGATTCGTTGCAGGTTAGTAATGCCAGTCAAAACCACTTGTGTGAAGCATCTATATTTTATGGAGGTTTTCTTGGGTAGAATGGTTACAATGCAACAGAATTAACTGAAGGCCCCTAGCACAAGAAAGACAACTCTTGGAGCAGGTCCAGAGGAAAGCCATTAAGATCAGAGGGCTGGAGCACCTCTCCTATTAAAAAAGGTTGAGGGAGCTGGGCTTAGTTAGCTTGTAGGAGAAGGCTCCAGGGAGACTTCATTGCAATCTTTCAGTACTTGAAAGGAGCATATAAACAGGAGGGGGAACAGCTGTTTACAAGGGTGGATAGTGATAGGACAGGGGGAAATGGTTTTAAACTGAGACGGGAGGTTTCAGTTAGATATTAGGAGGAAGTTTTTCACCCAGAGGGTGGTGACACGCTGGAACAGGTTGCCCAAGGAGGTTGTGGATGCCCCATCCCTGGAGGCATTCAAGGCCAGGCTGGATGTGGCTCTGGGCACATCCAGTGGTTGGCAACCCTGCACACAGCAGGGTGTTGAAACTAGGTGATTGTTTTGATCCTTTTCAACCCAGGCCATTCTATGATTCTATGATTCTATGAAGGAAGTTTCATCAAGTCATCTGATGAGTTGATAGTATTTGAGAGCTTTGTTGTTACATAATAGTACGAGAAAGGAGGTTGTTTCATTATTTAGCAGAACTTTGTGCCTGTCTTTCTACAAAGTTAGCTCTCATTTCATTTGCATCACCACTTCAAATGTTTAGCCACACTACTTTTATTTTACTTCTATGGGTAAAAGATGACACCTTCTTTGATATCTGCCATACCGAGGATTATGGCTGAATTCTATCTTTCTCCCTCAGTGAACATCTGCATTTTTCCCATTCCTTTATCCAGCCATCAGTATTTATGGATTTTGTAAGAATGCAACATCTGTGAGGTTTCTTAGTTCTTTCAATTTTCTTTGAAATTACCCATGAGCTCAGAAGTTATTAAGGAGGGCAGATGTTCAACCAAACAGACAATGAATGCGTGAACCTTTTTCCTTAGGGAAAATAGGCTAACAACAAATTACTATAATTAATGCTTGGCACTGTCTATATAAAATCTTTTGTCAAAGGGAGACACAGTAGTCCAAGCATAGATTGAGGAGGTGAATGTCCATGCCTACTTTTGTGACACTGG